GTGCCGGCTTTGCTGCGCTCCCCTCCCTGTCCCTTGCTCGGCACGGCTGCAGAGCTGGGCTGTAAGGCCGCAGTGGGGAGGGATGCCAGGGTCCCCCACCCCCCTTCCCTCCAGTTTCCCCCTCCCCGCTGCACCTCCTAACACTCCTCCACCACTCATATATCCATACTTGCCTATCCCCCACCGGCTACATGTTTTTTGTTGTAAATGCTGTATAGGAAAAATTTTTCTCTTCCTTAGTTAGCTTTGGTTGGGTTTTTTTTTGTTTTGTTTTTTTTGACTGATTCATTCTATTTTTGGGGAAGTATGAAGATTAACTCTGGGTAGACTTGGTGGCTCGCCCTGGGGTGGCTGCAGTGGCCTCTACCCGTGGGGAGCGATTGGTTGCAGGGACCCCACTGTGGGGCCAGGGTTTGAACCCTGTGCTCGGTATGGCAGTGCAGAAGGGGTTAATCTGAGGACTGATTTGAAATAATCTTTACTCGAGCAGGGCTATGTATCTCCTGCAAAGCTGCATTACATTCTGTACTGTGTACAATAAAGGATCTTGCTTTCTGTTCCTCCCTGCCTGGGCCCCTTCTTTCCCTGCGATGCTGCCCAGGCTGGGATGGGGGTGGTGCTGATGGGGGCAGAAATGGTCCAGGTTACAGCTTGGGGCCAGTGGGAGCCATGTCCCCTTCATCAGAGCTTCACCAGGTAGGGGCTGCTCTCTCCCTGGCCCCCCTTGCCCCAGCCCGGGGCTGTTGCTCCTAGGTCTGGATGCTGCCATGGATTTCCCAAAACCACATCCATCATGAGGATGCACTTGAAACGAGGGCGGCTTCTCCCCAGGGAGCTGCAATTTAATATTGCGTCTTCCCAAGGGTTTCTCGGCTAGTGGGTCCAGCTGCCTCTGTCCCCTTCCCGCTCTCCTGGAAACCCAAGCCCCCTGCCATCAAGTGGGGCTAAAGCTGGTGAGGACTAAAGCTGGAAAGCCCCTCCGGGAGCTCCTGGCAGCGGTCACCCCACCACTTACTGGCCCTATTTCTAGGCTGGGCAAAATCCCCATGGAGCAACAATCCAAAAGGCTGCAGGAGGTGGGTGGAGGGCAAGGGCAGCTCCACCAGGACTTGACCCTGTTAAAGGGCCTGTGTTTCTGCTGACGGGCCAGAGAAACACTCAAACACCGGAGAACGTTGGCCTCTATTTCAGTTGGTCAAAGCAGGCTGAGCTGGGGTGGTCACCAGCTCCCAGCCCCATCGCGGCGCAGGGTGGTGGGGTGATGTTGCTGGAGGCACTGCTGACTCTTCTCTTGCAGGCAGTTCTCACAGCCCAGCCCAACTCCATCCCTAGACGTGGCAGTGGAGAGATGGAAGGTCCTTATGTGCCTCAATGCTCTTCATACACTGCACCTCACCTCAATCCATTCCTGGGCGCCAGCCACGTTGCTAATAGGTCCTTGAGCTGCTCTTCTTTCATCGTGCCTGAGGTATTAGGCTGAGTGGAGACGGGTGGCTGTCTCCTAGCCCAGGCATGGCAAAGCAGTGTCCCAAATACCTAGCAAAACCAATCCACCCTGTGTGAAGCCTTCCACGAGCTAAATCAGCTGCTCAGCCCCTGATGGTATTTCCTCCAGCTCCCAAGGGACCTCCGTGGCACCAAGCTTGGGGTTTTTGGCAAGTAAGCCTCTAACTGGTGCTCTGCCTGGCTCTCCTGTGTGGGCAAACCTGCAGGGAGATGTTCAGGTGAGAAGGAGTTGCAGGGACTTTGCACCCCTCCCGACCCCATTCCATTTTTATTTTCTGCAAAGCTTTGTCCTCTGCCTAAAGACCACAAAACTCAAGCTGAACAAGAGGGGATGCGAGAAACAGTGCTGACAATCAGAGCTACAGATGACAGTGCCCAGTAATTCCCCCTCAATGGGGACGGCAGCAGGCTGAGTCCTGGTGCTCAGGATGGAGCAAGGGAAAAGCGGGGCCCCCGGCGGCGCTGCCGGCAGGCAGATGGCCTGGGACGGCGGGACCTCAACCCGGTGGCGCCGCGAGTGTGTGGGACCAGTTATGGATGGCAAGGATGAGCAGATAAGGCAAAGCTTTTCAAAGCCTTCATGGAGCAGCTGGTCATGCCGCAACCCAACCAGCCCTGCAAATCCTGCAGGCAGGGCCGGGGTGGGGCTCCCAGAGCATCCCATGCGCTGCGCTTGCCAAAGGGTGAGGACAGAAAAAGAGGCATTTTTCTATTCCAGCCTGTCAGAGCGGGACAAAAGGGTTCAGACCCCAGAGGGTTTGATACCACACTGGCTTTTAAGTACTCAGAGCATCAAGAATTTTTTCTGGAACTTCTCTGAAGCGTGTCCAGAGAAGGGCAACGGAGCTGGTGAGGGGTCTGGAGCACACGTCTGGTGAGGACCGGCTGAGGGACCTGGGGGTATTCAACCTGGAGAAGAGGAGGCTGAGGGGAGACCTTCTCACTCTCTACAGCTCCCTGAAAGGAGGGGGTAGCGATGGGGGGGCGGTCTCTTCTCCCAGGGAACAGGCAATGGGACAAGAGGAAACGGCCTCAAGTTGCACCAGGGGAGATTTAGATTGGATATTAGGAAAAAATCTGTCCACTGAAAGGGATATCAAACGTTGGAACAGGCTATCCAGGGGAGTGGTGGAGTCGCCATCCCTGGAGGTATTTAAAAGACGGGCAGACGTGGTGCTGAGGGACATGGTTTAGTGTTGGTTTGGGCAGGGTTAGGTGGATGGTTCGACTTGGTGATCTTAAAGGTCCCTTCCAACCTCGACAATTGTATGATTCTAATTTGCTCCTCGGTTGATCCTGCAGGACATCCCACCTCCCTCTGCTGCACACAAGAGGCTTTTGCTCCATGTAGAGGGGATGGAGCTGCCTTGGTCCCACTTATCCCTTCCGGATGGTGAGGGACAAGCCACAGCTGCTCAACATCCATCCTGCAGCCCCCAGAGAAGGGGACAAGTGTTCCCAGGCAGCCCAGAGCCTGGGCTAGCATTCGCCAGGATAGGAGAGATGGAGGGGAAGCAGGTGGAAAAGCATCCCTGCTCCCTGCACACCTCCTGCCCCATCAACCACCGCTCCAGGGCATGGGCTGAGCCCTCCTCGGCCACGCTCTGGCGTGCAGTGGGATGGGGAGCCAGGCCAGGGAGCACCACTGCGACCACCACCGCTTCTCTCCAGGATCAGAAACAGCCGAGGCCACCACCGCTCCATCCCCAGGACCAGCCGCCTCCGTCCCCTCCTTGCACACCCCAGCACACCTCCTGCCTTCCTCCCACTCCCCACCGGCTGCTGGGGAGGATGAAGAGGAGCAAGCAGAGGGGATTGGAATGCCAAAGCGGCATTTTGGGGAGGATTCAGCCATCCAGGCTGGGCAGAACCCTGGTGCTGGTGTTGGCCTCTCCAACCCTCCACATCACAGCTTCCACCTCCCACTCAGGTCGTGGGGTAACAAGCCCATCGGTCATTCAGGGTGAGGAACAATTTGTGATCCTGTGGGAGCAGAAAATAAAATGGCAGCTGATATTCAATGGGGATATATGTGTTTTTTCCTATTTTCTTCTCTTTACGCTCTTATAACGTGCACCAAGCTATTCCCTGCCTGGAATAAGAGCTCAGCTTTACCACATAGTCTAAAAGCTGTTCAAATGCGAGGCGCACGTTAAAAATTATTCGGCAAAGAAGAGCCTGTAAAAGGGAGAACATCGCGACAGCTCTCTGCACATCCATAATTCACCGAGTGCATTTCTGCTCTCCCCGTCTCAGAAGGATAGAGCTGGACTGGAAAACATTCAAAAAGCACTAGAGATGATAGCCAAAGGTCTGCGCTGGCTCTTATACAGGAGTGTATAAATAGTCCAGCACTTCCGTCTGGGGCAGGATTTGTGACTCAGGGACTTTGTATTTAATAGCCCATGATGGAGTTTTCCATCCCTGACTGGAAGAGCACTTGTGGGAAGTATTTCTGCCCACATGGCTTGTTCTTAGGGCAGCCGGCAGGACCGGCGAGCCCAGCGTGGCCGCCCAGACCAGAGGTGCCGTGTGGTCAGCGGGGGCTCTGCACGAGCAGCGAGACACAGTTCCCACCTGGCCAATGTCCCTTTGTCCTTCATGGTGGCCT